AAGGCGACAGGTTGGTGCTGCGCGGTGCTGCGCCCTGGCGGCCGCACGACCAGGCTGCGGGGCTGGGCGGGCTGGACCCGGACGGAGACGTATTGCGTTCGCCTGCCTGCGTGTCCTGTTGCAGCAAGGTTATTAGGTTCCCGCCTCTCTCCGCGGGGGGCTGCTCTCCCCGCTGCAGGTAGCCCCACTCCGGGGCCTCTCTGCTGCTGCTGCTGCTGCTGCTGCTGCTGCGGCGGCGGCGGCGCTGCTCCACCCTGATTGGGAAATGATTATGTCGGACCGACACACATTTGCATACGCTTCTTGTGCTAATTGTTTGTGTACAACTGTCGGGCTAATGGCCCCCGTCACTCTCTCTCTCTCTCTCGGCCGGGCCTATATCTCTCCTTTCTAACCCTACTCCCGCTTCAGTTCCCCCCTCCTCTTCTCCCCAATCAATGGGCGGCCTTTTATTCCTTCCTCGGATATGGATGTGGATTAATTACACCAATTAGCATGCATCCCGAGGACTTGTCTAAACAATCCCCCTCCACCTCACACCACCACACCGTGCCAGCACTGATCCAGATTAAAATGTAAAAGCAGTGGTCTTCTACGGCCCCGCCCCCTCTACACTCAAAGTGGGAAAGTGGAAATGTTTATTTATCCAGCGAGGATGTGTTCTGCTACCTGTAGCACGTGTCAATCGAATGTAAATTTATCTGTAACCTACACAAAAAGTTATTTGTACATAGGCTACGTAGGGCTATAGCCCTATAGGTACAACTTGTAACTTTTCTATAAACAAATTGGCATCCACTTTAGATGTGGTTTAGAACACATCTTCCCTGAATATAAAATCATTCGTTCCCATTTATGGTGTATTCTCCTCTCTTTCATTTTTCAAACTGTTTGGAATGTGGTTGATTACGGCTCGGATTACAGTTCAATGCAACGGTTTCAGAGTGTTTGAGTGTGGCGGGTGAGGCACGTTCGTGCGGCAGGTGGTCGCTGCACCCTTAGCAGGGGGCGTGCTGCAGGTGGCTCTGGGGCGAGCAGCTGAAGCAGCGCGCCGTGCTCCTTGTAGAGGGACACAATACGCACTGGGCCGGTCGATGGCACCGGCTGGGGGAGGGAGGGGTTGGGGGAGCTGATGGATTCAAATTGAGTCTCTCGACGGCTAGATCGAGAGGTGCCTGCAGGCAACCCCCCCCTCCCTCCACTCTTCTCCCCCCCCCCTTCCCTCTCATGACTCCCTCCGGTTGGCAACAGTATAGCGGCGCCCGCTGTTGTCCGCTTGGAGTGGCGCCGCCGCGCGCGAACATGTATATATACTTTTCTTATCCGGGAGAAATGAGAAGCTATTTTGCACAATACGGCGTCGTCAGCGGGGGTGTTCTGCGAATGTTATCCGCCCCCCCCCTCTCTCTTTCAGACCCAGCAGCATGGGGCGATGTTGTGCCATGGCTGATGCTGATCTAATAAGGCCGCGTGTGTCGCTCTCCGTCTTGTCGAGAGTATATCGCACAGTCAGCAGCGGCTGCACAAGCAGAAGCACACTACCAGCACAGGCCTCTGGCACAAATAACAACTGTCTGTCTATAAAGCCTATCCAGTTAGTTATAAGCGAGTCGAACGCACCGATAAACGGAAAGGAGGGGGTGTGCACCGGCACGGGCCTGTGTGTGTGTGTGTGTGACCGTCGTAGCCGGAAAGCCCCCCGAGTCTAAACTGGCTTGCGCGGCGAGGAAGGAGAAGCAGCGCGAAACACGCTGCAGAGTATCAGAGAGAGAGAGAGAGAGAGAGAGAGAGAGAGAGAGAGAGAGAGAGAGAGAGAGAGAAATAAGGCTAGATCCGCAGAAACCCTTCCCATCCCTAAATCCCGGCGGTCCGGTCCGGTCTGGCCCGTGGTGCTGGCGTCCGCTCGGCGTACGTCATCCGGCCGGTCGCTCTCTGCTCTGGAGCTTGCATCGGTCTCGGCTAAACGCGGAGTGTGTTTAAACATGTGTGTGTGTGTGTGTGTTTGTTTTGTTTTTCTTCTTTCTGGGAACCGTTTCTGTGACAGATCATCTCTCCCACTTCGAGGAAAAGTAGTGTTTAAACCAAAGTAATATAAAATACTCTTGTTACGATTCAGTGCAGTTTAATCTTGAACCGAGAATCAATTTTTCTAAGTCGGTGTACTTTCTGTCAGAAAATGTTAATTAAATTGGCATATTTTAATTAAATAGTAATTTTATCTTGTCAAGACTATTGAAAAGTATTGACAAGACAATAACAGGCAGGTCGATTCCAAAACGCGCGTTAATCACCACCAAAATTTGCCAAACTTTATTAACAAACATTACAAAATAACTTCAAAATTTAAAAACATTGCGTATCGTGATGGTCCGCACCCGGGTATTTAACTACACTATTCGAAAAACACCGCACTGCCGAATTCCCCGGGGCTGTTTTGGTACTCGTACTGTTATTTCATTACGCTCAGCGACCGTTTCTTTTTGGCTCTCTTTTGTCTGTTGTTTTCCCAGAGCAGCAGCCGCAGCGGTGATTCGTGTCGCAATCCTTTTCCAGTTATCGATAATAGTAATTGAAAACTCGCGGTCGGCTGTGGCAGCGGTGGTCCGCTGGTCGCGCAGCAATAGTACTGCGGCCTTGTTACGCATTTGTCTTACCCCCTTTCCTCTCTCTCTCTCTCTCTCTCTCTCACCCCCACTCTCTTTCTCTCTCCGCGCCCTCTTCCCCTATGAGCGACCCGCTGGCCATCCTAGCAGCAATGGTTCTAACAGTAGCGGGGTCAGGACAGGGGGAGGGCCTCGCGGTGGGGGGGACGTCCCCGGGCTGGGCTGGCAGGCAGCGGCTAGTCGCGCGGCGGCGGTGGCGGCGGTGGTTTCTGCGATGTTCAGTCGCGTGGAAATGCTGATAGGAGTGCCTGCCTGCGAGCTTTGGGACTGCCGGGCCGCGCCAGGCGGCTTTGGGACCTAGGCGGTACGGGGACGGGCTTGGCCGGGCCCTCCGTGGAACACCGATACCCCCGCCCGCCTCAAAGCGCTAGACTCGTCAGAAGGTTCGAAGCGATGGCCCGCCTGTTGTGCGTGTACTGTAGTGCTGGAGTGTCTTTGCAGGGGTGTAAGTTTCAGAAGGTGAGAGCCGCACCTTTTCCAGAGGTGCCTGAGAGGTGCTTTGCCGGTGGCAGTGGTGTGCGTGAGGACTTGTAAAGGGGCCAAGGGGTCGGCAGGGAGAGAGAGAGAGAAGAGTAGAAAGTGCAGGCGAGGGTAAAGATAATGAGAGAAGAAGAGCGGAGAGAGCGCAGCACAGCGAGAGCTAAAGGAGCGCCGGCTGGCACGCTGGCGGCAGGACAGGGGAGGTTGGGACCGCCAGGAATAGGGAGATTTTCGCGCCCGTCGGGCTACGAATGCGCTTTAATATCCCCTGCTGGCTGCTGCCGCGAGGTCAAAGAGGATTCCCTGTGTGCAGTGCGGACAGAAGGTGCGGGGGAGAGTCCCGGCCGCCCTTCCGGAATGCGCCTTTGTTCTCTGCGCACGCAGGATGACCAGGAATGTGGCGCACTGCTGCTCTCCCCGCGCTCTCCCCGACCTCCTGCGCGCTCTCCTGCACGTTTTCAGCGCTCTTTCAGATTTCCCCGCGCCCTTCTGCGGCCTCTGGCGGCGCGCATCTGGATAATTTTGCGCGGGCCCCGTTGGTGCAGTTCCCCGACGTAGGTGTAAGGTACCCGCCGTGATATTCAATTCACCTGGAACTGCAGAAATGATGAAGTAGCTTGGACATTGCTATGATGTTTATGCTTTCATCTAAAAATGCACTGATCCTAAAGGTGCGTGGAACTGCAGTATGATGTTCACGACGCCTGCGACTCGGCTGCAACTCGGCTGCCACTGCAGTGAGGTTTTACGCGTGATGTCTGGTCTCACACTGTGGTTGCTCGGCGTTTGGCCGCCCAGAGAGTGAGATATATAGACGAGGGAGTGTTCGGGGGGAGGGGGGGGGGGCAATTCAATGAACAGACCTAATTATGTCCCCAGTGCGCCGCCGGGCGCGTCACCCACCCTCTCGCCAGCGCCCAAGGGCCTCGCAAGCTGTCACCTGCATTAGCACGTTGCGCCGCCCCGCGCCGCCCCGCCCCAGGAATGGCGTCGTTGTCGCCAATTGGTCCTGGAGCGGGATGCTGTGTGACGGCTGGATTGCTCCATCCTGCCGTACAGGAGATTGTTTATAATCGCGCGGTCGTTCCTTGCCGGGGTTGCGGGGTTATGCGACATGCGACCGGCTGAGTGAGCCGAACTCGAGCTCAACTGGCAACTATGGCTACCGGCGGAAACATTGGTGACTGAGCTCCCGCGGCCGGCATGTACTCACACCGAGCACCGAGGCTAACTTGCACCTGTTCCGATACATCGCGGGACACATTGAAAACAAAAGACTGTAACTGGCATGCACATAGTAGTGTTCAAACTCTTAGGTGCACACTCTAAGGTAGTGGACGTGTTCAACAGTAAATTTGCACACTTCAAAGAGGGAAACGTTTTGTTGCCCAAGTTCCTGAGTTGGTTTGAACACTTTTGTGCAGTGCATTCCTCTGTACGAAATGATGCCCATTTACGCACAAAGCTGTCGATGAGGAGAAATTCTGCTTTAACTTTGCAAACGTTAACTTTCTAAACGTTTGTACAAAAAAAATACAAATGCAGTCGGTGTGCTGTTTTTCAGGGACAAAACTTCGTTCGTTTTGCAGTCCCACTATTGTTTTGTCTTTACTGTAAAGATTTTGTTTGCTAAAAGTTGGTGCAGCTTCTTAGTGTTCGTCAAAGGGAATTTGCGCTAGAAACAGTTTTCATCAAGGGAACCCGTCGATTTAGTGCCAATTATTGAGCCTGGTTGGGGTCATGAAAAACTACATTGCTTATTTGGAAACCTCCCGCCACCGCAGCGTTGAATGGCAGATTATTCGAAGGACGAGTTGACGAGTTGGGTTTTCCTTTCGTCTATTGTCTGTAATAGGAATGGGGTGGCTGTACCGGGGTAAAGCTGGGAGCAACACTGTAAGAAAAACATACCACTACTCGCTGTACAATTCAGCGTTGAACTTTGAAATAACAATATCATAATGCTTTTCCAGTGCTTTACCCCACAAGATACAATGAAAATTTCACAACCCTCTACTGGTTACAGCACCAGACTGTTGTTATATTGTAGGTTTTTCTTAGAGCGTGAAGTGGAAATGGTGAGGTGCCAGGTGTCGTAATTCGGGGGATATTCACGAGCCTCAACGACGAATTAGGAAATTATTATTTTCTTAAACTGTCTCAGCAAAGAGAGGCAGGGTCCCGGCTGAGGTGAGCAAACGCTCTGTTGACTTATCCGCTGAGTACGGCCCCAGCCGAGGCACCCTCAGCCCAATTTTCCTCGGCGCGCTTCTAATTTTGGCCGTTTTAATTAACTTTCTGTGTTGTCACAGCTGTTTGTTTATCGAGTCCGCGCAGTAAGCACCTTCTCCTTGCGCTGCCTTCTTATCGATTGAAAACGAAACCGTTTTGTTCGTTTATGTGCCTCTAATTCGAGCCGCGCTCATGGATGTCCTTTTCTGTTTTTCCTGTTACAGGTTCGTGTTCTCATGGATGTGAGGCTGCAGCAACGTAGCGGAATGGCAGAGTGAGTTTCAGGAAGGCATTGCTGGTGCGTGGTGCGCCATTGTGACGCGAACCTTTCGACGCGCTGCTGGTGCAAATATTCGCCGACGCACACGCAGGACAGTGTTCATTGTTTGCCCCAAGCGCTGCCTCTCTGGAGCTTTAAGTCTCAAGTGCCCGTTTGTGACAATACTCTGTAGCCCCCCC